GAGAGTTCATGTGCTGCTAAGTGGAGCTTACCAGAACTGCAGATGGATTAAGACAGCTGACTTCATTACTCTGCTGTTAATCAAAAAGTGCTTGGTTGTTTTTTTTGTTTTCCCCCCGCTCTTCTCAGCATAAAAACAAACGCATTATGTTTGCTTTCAACTGTTGCTGTACCTTGCTTGTAGAGCCCACCACCTTACAAAATATGCAGTAAATGCTTATGATCTGTTATTTTCCAGAGGAAGCGAACCTGCAATAAATCAGAAAGAAGCTGTAGAGGTTCAGCCAGCAGAAAAAAAGAGCAGCAAGAGTTTTGTCAGAGAGATGGAGTTTGTCACTATGCCAGAGTTTGAGAGCATCCCTCAGTAAGTATAATCAATCACTGTAATTCAAAATGACCTTATGTATGAAACCTTTGTGAAACCCACTTAAACAATCTAGGGAGGCTATCTCATTTTGACCTTGAGCCTTCCAGGCCATTCTTGGCACAGATGTTTCTGTATACAATGCCAGCTACTTGATTATGGGGTACCATGTATGCCTTGCCTGCTAGGATCTGGCAACGTGTGTGTGTGTGTGTGCATGCTAGCTTGTTAATATCATATAATATGCTGGACACCTGTCTGTTCATTATGAGGAGTTTTCATGTCTTCATATCAGTGGCATCCATTTCCTCTTTATTACAGCTGGGTGTCTGATATCTGCTAAAGAATATTTGATGGCTTGGATCTTTTCCTACTGTTCAGCTGGCTTCTCAGCACCTGTTTTACTTTCTGGAAGTATTTGACTATTTTGCTTTCTGTAGCTCCGCCCCTTTGCTTTGGATCACCTTCCGTTTCGTTGCAGTCATTCAGGTATACTTATCCAGTCCAAAGGACATCCCGATATCCTTGCTTTAGATCTTCGTGTGGTGGAGCAGTGAGTCGATATCTCGCTTATTCCTGGCCTGCAGGACTAAGCGTCTAAGCTCTGGCTGGATCTGCCCTTGTGCTTGTGCTACCCGCCAGAGCTCATTTAGAGACTTCTTGTACCTCTTATTCATGCAGGACCTGTGTGTCATGACACCCTTCTGCATTTCTGTTAGTGACTGACATCCTTCCTGAGTTCTCTGATTTTATGACTTCCAGCCGTCATCATAGGGCAGTCTGGCTACAGTCAGCTCAGCAGATGTCATTGGTGGCTGGGCCTCATCTAGTTCAGTTACACTGCTCTATTCTACCATGGTTGGCTCATTATGCCCATACCGCTCACTATTGCTCCCATAATAGCTGAAGACATAACATGAAACGGTGTTTTTCTGATGTGTGTTCATACAGGTACATGAAAGGACGTGTGACATATGAGCAGCTCAATGCAGCAGTGGAGAGCATCAATACTGCTGTAGCAGCCAAGTACAAGATTGTCCATCAGTCCTTGAAAACACTCAACAATCACTCACGAAAGCTGCACCAGCGCTTTAAGGACCAAGAGACCAAAGATACAAAAGGTATCCTGCAAGCCAAAATTGTGTGCTACTTGTGTACGTCTCAGGAAGACAGAATGGGCATGTAGGTTTTCAGTCATAGAGGTCATGTTAGTCCAAAGAGCTTTCTTTCTTACCAAGCTCCTTAGTTTGCAACAGAAGTCTTTCTTGCTTTAAGATCACATTTTTGAATCATTGTGAAGGTTTTTCTGATCACTTTGAAAGCATCTCTGGGTTTTTCCCCTCAAGACAGTGAAAATGTTAGACTTCAATATTTGATATGTTGTCTTTTTAGTGTTTTCAGCTAAGCATAGGCTTTTAATGATCCACAGACCTTTCTTCTGCCATTTATTTTATTTGTTTGTTTGTTTTTAAGTATTCATGAGTCATATAAAGCGATATAAAAATCATTTTGGACTAAACAGAGCAAACAAAACTGTCCTGAAAATTAAAAAACGAAGGATACCGGTGTTATACTTGCTTGTTTTTCTTTTGCTTTCAGCTTTGTGGGCGAATCATTAAATGCAAACCCACATCTCAGATATTTGAGATCACTTTTTTCAACTGGCTCTTTATAAGTACATTATCACATCCATATTGGTCAGTTTCTGAGAAAGGATTGTTTGTAAAACACAAAGTTTCACAGTTGTGCTTAAATGTTTTGCAGGTCAGTATTTTGTGGTGGAGGATGACATTCGTGAATTTACCCAGATGAAGGTGGACAAACGCTTTCAGGGGATTCTGAACATGCTGCGACACTGCCAGCGCCTGCGGGAGCTCCGAGGGGGAGGGCTCACCCGCTACATGCTGCTATGAAAAAGACTCTTTCAGTTAGTTTTTCCTTTTCTCTAGTACACTGCCATATTTGTAAATGGCTTACATAGGTAAATGTCATTTGTTGTGATAGGTAGACATACCAAACATTTAACACGCTTCTGGTATATATATATATGTTTGCGTACTTAAACTTCTATATGTATGTTGTATTGTCATATAGTGTAATAATAGATACTAGTAATAATAAATGGCACATTTTCTCTTCTGTATCATTATGTTGTAATAATGTAATAATATCTTTACATGTCTGAAAGCTTGGTTATGATTAAATTGCTTTTTGTGGTTTTTTTGAGACTTCATTCCTGTTCCACACTGAAAACTTTATATTCCAGAGGCCGCTGGATTAAAATGGAGGCTCTCTTTGTTGGTGCCATGGTGAATCCTGGTATCAGAGCTCCAATGGTCATTCATTATCTTACTTTAATGCGTGACTGGTAGAATAACTCGCATGCTTAACTCTGGAAGAACACACTCCGGGTTGATTAAAGTAAAGGTGATCAATCTCTTGATACTCAGAACAGAAGTTATGGTCAGGCTCAGTTTGTGCAACAGCTTCTCAGGCATTCACGTCATCAATGGGACGCTAACACACAGGCTGAAAGTAATAAGTAATTTTATATATGTATATGACTCAATGCCCCACACATGAATCCTGGAATACCTAGAACTATACAAGATCAGCAGGATGCTGAGAGCCTTCATCAGGAACTCAATGGGGATGTGGCAAACAACACTAGAGGCCAATTTCAAGCCTGTAGCACAAGTCACTATCGAGTGTGGGGTCTACAAAGGAGATGCGCTGTCCCCACTGCTTTTCTGCATAAGCCTGAACCCCCCTCAGTCCAATCCACACCATGAGGATCTACAGGAACGACATCTGAATGTCATTCGGACTGGAGAAGTGTAGTTGGACGGTAACAAAGAGAGGGAAGGTAGTCAGAACTGAGGGGATTGTAATACCGGACAGCTGCAAGTACCTGGAAATCCTAGGCAAATGGGAACCTTAAAGAGGCCGCTAGAAAAGCTGCAAATAGCTGCAGAGAGTGAGGCAAGTGCTGTGGAATCAGCTGAATGGGAAAAACAAGATCAGGGCTATCAACACCTACGCCCTGCCCGTGATCAGGTGCCCTGCCTGGATAATAAGCTGGCCAAAGGAGAAGACAGAAGCCACTGACATCAAGACGAGGAAGCTCATCACCATGCATGAAGGATTTCACCCCAAGTTCAGCATCCTGAGACTGTATGCTAAGCGGAAGGAAGGGGGCCTGGCACTGGTGAGTCCAGGATGAGGCAATGAACATCCACAAATACATCAGGAAAATGGCCACAACTGACTGTGTGCTTAGTGAATACCACAGGTGGTAGAACCCCGAGAAAGAAGAGGAGCAAGAGGGGGAGCCATCATAGAAGGACAGGCCCCTGCACAGTATGTACAAACGCAAGATACAGTACAAGATCCATAGAGGGTGGGTTCTACCACACCAGACAATACCCCAGGTGCAGGCTGTGCAAAGCTGGCCTTGAGATAATCCACACAAAACAGCAGGGTACAAGATACTAGCAGGCAGGTCATACATGGAATGCCGTAACCAAGTGGCCGGCATAGTGTACAGAAACATTTGTGTGAGTATGGCCTGGAAGTCCCGGCCATAGTCAATGTTTTTTTGTTTTTTTGGGGTTTTTTGCCTGTCCCGTTTGGCTTTTTTGCCATCAGAATTGTTGTCTAAAGGCAAAGAAAGATGCCCAACGGATTTACTTTACCAAATGGACCATCCCAGCCTTGCCGTAATGGTCTATTTGATTCACCTTTGCTTTTATTGTTTATTTTATTTTATTTTCACTTGCTACACACGGGACAGACTTGACTGGGGAAAAGAAAGGGGAGAAAGAAAGAGGGAAAGAATAACAGCGGAAAAGAGGGACGGGGGAGAAGGGCAAAAAACAAAAACCAACAAAATAAGCAGACAAAAAATACATATATCAATCACCTGGATCACCTGTTGAGAGAGAAAAAAGAGAAAACAAGCAGAAGAAAAAGAGAGCAGTATAATAAACAACATCACGATGATCTATGGGAATATAACAGTAAATACTAAATATTAAACATTATTGAGCAGCACGTAAGATCGACAGCGCACAGTGTGCTTTGAGGTAGGAGCCAAAAAGGGTGTAGTTTGTGTGTGTGAGCACTCGTGTGTACACCTGTGAGCGTGAGCGTGCTTGTATTTAAAAGGTTCCTTCATGTAATGATCTGCTAGAGGGTGTGGGGGGGCCACAGCCCCGTCCTCCAGGGCATGAAGCAGGTATGGAGGAGATCAAGGCTCCAGACATCCAGAGGCCCTCAGAACACAAGAGACCAAGGAAGACCAACAGAGGGGCAGCCGCGCCACTGTCCCAGAAAGAGCTGACGGCCATAGAGCAAATAATATCACATTGACGGCCATAGAGCAAATAATATCACATTGACGGCCATAGTCAATGCGATATTATTTGCTCTGCTGCTTATTTTCCATCCTTAAGTACAGCGTGTGTTGTGTGTGTGTTCACGTTACTGTGCTGGGTAAAGGCACACTGTGCGGTCAGTGTGCTCTGGTGTACTCTTGTTCGTGTACCACGAGGGGTCAGTCTGAGGAGCTCATCGCCACAAGTCCCTGCATGTGTGCCCCTGTGGGCAGTCTGCTTATTCTCAGTGTACAAGCCCACTGAACTGAGCTGGAACAACTTGTCACAGCTCATTGCTGATCCACGAATCTGCTCAGGGTCCCGGAGTACAGCAGGAAGAGGCTCCCCTTCAAAGTAAAGCAGTTCCGTGCGTCACAGCGCTGTTTGTCTCCGCGGTGATTTCACTCGAAGCTGAAGTTCAGGAAAACGCTACAGCACAGACTCCGTCCTCATGGACCTGGAAACCGCTCAGCACAGTGAGCCGTGTCTGCCTCTGTGAGGGAGCAACAGGCTGATTTCTGCCTCAAACCACCGCAGTGAGGTAAGCAGAGCCGCACAGCCGAGCAGCTGTCCGCAAACAAAGCGCTTGTCCTGGTGTGTGTGTGTGTGTGTGTGCGCGCTGTTTGGTTCTCGGTCAGCCTTCAGTTCAGCTTTCAGCTTCTCCAAAACTGGAGAAGCTGAAAGCAAATATCATAAAGCGTCTTAGTAAGGTATGAAAAAGCCCTCTGAAAATACAGAATACTTACTATAAAAACACAAATAATACGACAAAGTAAAACAGTACGGTAGAGCTCAGTAAACCCATTAGAGAATAATTAGGAAAATGTAAAAGGCTTAAAAATAAGGTGCAGTAAAAATATATGAGGAGTGAGGAGGGAACAGGAGTCTGCTGGGCAGATGTCACACGGGGTATGAAAGAGTTCATGCAGGTTTTGAAGAGCTGATTACTGACACACACAGCTATGCTCTGGGTGTATGAGGCCTGATGGGAGGGAGCTTTGCAATCTGGCCATTCTCTTTCCAGCTGTTAGCTTTTCTCTCTCAGTACAGTTGAGCTGCTTGCTCAGCACAGGCATGCTTCCATTCATGCCAGCCTTTCCTGCTCCAACCCCGGAGGTTGAAAGATCATCACCACCATCGCTCATACTCACTTTATTAAGCAGTTGTTCCTGCACTGCAGACAGTGCATTTCTGTGTATTCATTTGGCAGAAAATTAAAAAAATTTAATTACCACTTCTAACAGTGGTAGAAAACACCCTCTTCCTTTGAGGACTAACCCGAGAAGCATGCTGATGTACTGAAGGTGGGGCACTGCGTCAGTGCTCCAGGTAGAGGGTCGCCACAGCGCATCATCTGCCTGCATCTCACCCTGCTCCATGTAACATCCTCCATTTGTTAGCGCAACCTCTGCAAGTTCTCCTTCACTGCATCCATCAATCCACTCTGAGCTCTTGCTCGTTTCCTCCTGCCTGGCAGCTCTAGATTGAGCATCCTTTGTTCAAACCAGCTCAGCGTCGCTTTTCTTGTTGCAGTGTGTCTCTCACAAATCATGACACTCATTACCACTCACTCCACCCTGCCTTGACTCTCTTCTTCACCTCTCTTGTACACTTTGCTTTAGAAGGTGGATCTCAATGATTGTAGGGTCTGTCTTACAATATAAAGCATACCTCCACCTCTCCGGGCTCTCCTCCACCTGCTCTCTGTTCTCACTACAAATAGCTATGTCGTCTGCAAACATCACAGATCCACAGAGCCTCCTGCGTGAGCTCGTCTGTCACCTTATGTGTCACTTCTGACTTCTGAGATGACCAAAAGTTTACAAAGTGAATTTAATATGTTATTTGTTTGGACCCAAAATGTGTGATTGAGCCTGTGATTTCATTAGAGAGCTGCTTTCACATAGAGTTGTGTAGGCTCAAAAGTCATGCTTTAGTTACAGGTTGTTCCCTGCTGACCAGCTTTAAGGCACTTTCATGTTGGCTTCACTTCTCAGATCAAGAAGCTGTCCATCTTTTATACCGTTTGAGCTTGTGTTTATGTAATTCACATTCGGCTCACGCTGCCTTTTGACTTTTCCTTCAACTCATCACCTTTTCCATCAAGACAAATTAAACATGATTAGGAAAAGGCAGATGAGGGAATCTGTTGATGAGCCAATAAGGGTTAAGAGGTTTACCACAGAAGAAGAACCAAGCAGTGACATCTCCTGTTGGACATTCTCTGTTCTTGCTTTAGAGCCTAACGGAGGGACCGTATTGATCATGGTCTTAGCTGCTCTTCCACACACAGTTAGTGAGCAGCTGGATCGTCTGTCTGTTTCAGATCAAGTGTGGAAACCGGGGAATCTGCAAAATGAGCAGGCCTCCTTCATGCTGACAGACAGGCGGAGTGCTGTGTGGATGTTTCAGAAATCTTTGAGAACATGTGGCTGTCAAGCACTCCTATTTCGAGCTTTATCTTACAGGCTCTTTAAAAGGCAGAAGCACACACTGTTGCGTTTCTCCGGTCTGTCTGTGGCTCTGTCACACAGCAGTCAGCCGTGCTATGTGGGGTTAACCAGTGCTGCATGCTTTACTGTTGAGTCATGCTCTCTCACTCTGCTAGCATGTCTTCTGAACGCTGTGTTTGTTGTTCTGAGTCGTACTTGTTCTGGGTGTTGTGATGCACAGCAGTGCAGTGTGTGCTTTCTTAAATAAATGATTGTGTGAGACATAATGCAGATGAACGCTGCTTGCTTTACTTTCTCGTTAGTGTGACCTTGAAGCTGACAGGAACTAGAGAACAGAGTACAGACTAATGTTCCAGCTGCAGTCCAAGACAGTGGAGTTTGAGTCCATCCAACCACAGGAGGACAGACCATGCGGAGAGGCAGCTAGGTGATACTGAGGTCAGCCGGTAAGAAAACATGAGATGGAAACAGCTGACTCCCTGATATGTTGGCTGTTCTTCATTTCTAACTTTTTATCTTGTTTCTCTCGGGCTCCTTAGCTGGTTAGCAGCAGCTAAAATTTCTTAAAAGCCAAGTTGATGGCCAGTGACGGTGTTCTCTCAGATGGATTAAAAAGTAGAAATTAAAATGCTTGTATGAGATGTCAGAAGGTGCCGGCGTACATGACTGTGTGCAGACAGTCCACACAGGCCCAGCTGTTACTGCAGTCTAACACAGCGTCGCCCATTTCTGTGCTTTTCTGATCCCACTGACTGATTCAGTTTGTTTTCAAAGAGAGTGTAACCCAGGTTTCATTTCTCTGTACACAGTCTACAGATGCCCCCTGAATGCAGCACAGGCTGGTGGTGACAGAAAACAAGTTCAGGATTGGGAATGAATTCGTGCCAGTGACCACAGGAAATGCACAGACACAAAAGTTATTAAAATGCTGTGACGTCACAGCGAGCAGACAGTTTCCTCTCAGGCGTCTTTAAAGTGAACTCGACACTGTCGGAGCACGGCTGATGTTTTTCAGGAGGTCCTGCGTAGCGCTTGTATGTTGTGCTGTGACTGCAGCAGTAATAGAGACAAACAGTCTGAAAAGAAGCTCCCTCACTCTACATCGTAACTGTTCCCATAGCGAAGCAGGACAGACAGAGGTTGGTGCTTTGAGCTGTAGGCACATACATGAACAGCTCTCATTAAAATCCTCTTTTTGGCTTTTTTGTCTCATGCTTCATTTTGCTGAAAAAGGCAAAGGTATCAGAAGCGTCTGCTCTGTGGTCTTATCAGAGTGCCGATGTCACTGAAAGCACGCTCTCCTGCCCGCCATGTCACCATACTAGTGCTGTTCACAACACTACCAAAGCTAACAAAGTTTCAGGAGAAAAGTCGGTCCATGTGCAGCCTTGTTGTTTCAGTGATGATTCTGCGGGCTGATCTGTGCTCCTAATGAAGCCACTGTGTCACCCCTGTGGAATTTGGCACATGTATAAATATCTTTGCAACAGTAATTGCCTGCAAGTGACAGCAGCCAGAGCTCAGCTGTGTGATTGCATCTGAGGTCAGGATAGTTTGACTTGAATTGCCCAGACACGTATACTTGCCAGTTTGTGCTAACATGAAAATAAAAAGTGAAGCAGAGACGTAATGGATGGTGTGTAAGCCTTCACAAAATCCAAACCCATGACTTATAAAGATTCATAACAACTGTACAAGGATGATTTTTTAAATCACTTGTATTTTCACATATTGTGAGATTTGCATAAACCTCAGCGTGTAAAGTTTGAGCTGTGAACATCTTACTGCTGCCATTCTTCCCCAGCAGCAAGAGCGCCTCCCAGAAGTCCACTTCCACAAAAGTAGGTCACAATAGTCCCAGAGATGCACCCAGCAGTCACTTTGTTAGTCACTGCCAGTTACCACAAACACTCGAGCACAGTCCTCTGTCAGTGATCAGGGTTAGGGAATTACTTTTTCACACATGGCCAGGATAGCTTTTAAATTGATGAATAATCATTTAATAAATGCATTTGGTGTTTACTCAGGTTATAGTTGACTAATATGGAAATTGGTTTGATGATTTGAAACATGGAAGTGTGACAAATATGCAAATAACTAAGAAATCGGGAAGGGGCCGATAGTTTTTCACAGCGCTGTCTGCAGTAGTAAAACTCTGCTGCCATTGGCTGCGTCTCTCTGTCGTTCTGTCATTGTTCCTGAGGGCGGAAGCAGCAGCAGTCCCAGGTTGATTTAAAGCTCCAGACACTGAAACAGTCAGTTAGAGCCCAAAACCACAGTCTGCACACATGTTCACAGCACGGTCTGTGTGCGATTCTTTCTATATATTCTCGGCACCTGTGACACTGACATTAGTAATTCCTGGAGTTATAGGTGCTTAAAATCTGCATGATTAAGTGGGCGTGGCCTCTTTGACAGGTGGATGGTGTCAAAGAGTTGGAGTCCCAGAGCCGGACCTCTCATCCATGTTTGTGCTCTTTGCTGACAGACAGTCATAAAGTCTGTGCTTTTTATTTTATGTCCTCATCTGCTAAACACGCTGTAACGTCCTTCTCTTTAAACTGAATTATTTGTCCAGTTCTCTGCCTAATGTGATGTTGTACGTCATTCTAAAATATTCTGGCATATACACACGGTTTAAAATAGCTGCTGAGTAGTTCCAATTTATAATTAGCAAAGAACAAGAGTAGTTAAGCTTAGACCTCTCCAGTGTCTTTTAACTGAGTATATATTATTAGTATTTAAAAGGAGCATCCATCCATGCCAAGATACTGAACCCTGATTTGCCCCTAATGCATCCACTACAGTGTGAGTGCGTGTGTGAATGTTAAACAAAAGTTCTTGTATGGATGTGTGTGACTGAGGGGATGAGGCTTCTAGTAAAGTGCTCAGAGTAGAAAAGCACTATGTCAGTTCATATATTAACCAGTTCTCCTGTGTCTGTCTGGACTTGTGTTCACAAGTATGAATGAATGATGAACAAAATATAAAGATTGCATAATATTCCCCTCTTCACCATCTATCAAATTTCCTATGCAGCAACCCACCCTGAGGTTGAGAGACGGGGTGGACTATACCTTAGACAGGTCAACAGCCCTGAGATGAGCTGTGGACATACTCACATATTGGCCTGTGGCCAGTAAAGAATCACCAGTTTGTCTTTGGAATGTGTGACGAGGCACCCGGAGGAAACCCCAGCAGGCACAGAACATGTCCACGCGGCTGCTTTGAAGCAGGCATGGTAAGCTTCATATATAGTATGCTGTTGAAAGCACAGTGACTCGTAGGACATGCACAATTGCAGTGAGTATAGCCTTGACATTTCCTATATTGTTGCCGTACGTGGTAAAATGATTAAATAAGGTTGGTTGTTGAGAGATCCACAGACAGACACTTTGACAAGTGATGAAACTGATATTTCTCCTTGTTGTAACATCACACTCAGAAACAATATCTTGACGTGTCCTGGCAGGCTGGCCACTAAATGAGTGTAACGATGGACTGGAACACTTGTAGACATGTGTTGCTGACATCAACTTTAACCTGTAATAAACAAGTACTGTTGCATTTTCAAAGTTTTGGTACCAAAAGCTTTGTAAGTTGTTCTGGTGACAGTTCACTTCATAATTAATCCTTCTGTCAGCAGTCACATCATCAGTAAACTCCAGTGACCCGCTTCCACTGGCAGGCATACATGATGACAACAGGGAAACATAAGGTTTCCTGCACCACGTTTGACAGATGATGACAGATAATGAGCTGGTCAATGCTTTTCTCTTACATCATTCTGGTACAAGTTAATCTGGCTGTCATCTGTCCACTGATTTTTTTTTCCTAGCACTGAGGTGGAAAAGTCTACTCTGGCCTTCCTGTTCGTGAGTCTAACCAGTGGCTTGTACCTTGTTGTAAACCGTCTCTTGTACACTTATTCACTCAGGAGTTCTCTTGTTAGATGTTGTAAGGGCTTTTCTTCCCCAGGAAATAATTCTGCAGTCGTGAACTTTAGTTGTTTTTGTTGACTTCCAGGCCTGTTGGTTTTCCTGAGCCACCCGGAGCGTTGCTTCTTTTTAAGAATGTAACAGATTGTTGGTCACTCGTAAGTTGTTTTTGGTCTTTCTGCACTGACATCAACCCTTTATGGACCTCGTGTTGTGAGTTCCAGTGAACAGATCTATTAGCTGCTTAATTTGTCATTGAATGATTCATTTTTAATAACTTTATGCATTTTTGTGGTTAGAAAAGTGGTGACACTCTTCTCTCAGATATTTCATTACTTAAACAAAATTACTTTTCCAGAGTTAGCTGTAACTGAGGAAGTGACATCTGTGCTGGGTTGTGACAGCGGTCACACTACAAGTGTACAACTGAAATATGCTAGGCCCACCTCTTCATGTGGGCCAAGGCTTAGTTTACTAAACTGTTTACTAAAATGTGCACCAGTGAGTCACTGGGGCGTGTGAGTAAGAGGATTCACCACCATTGCAGCTCAGTAGCTAGACCGGCTCATCTAACAGTGTACTGGAAACATTCCGATGGAGTTTTGGTCAATGTTGAAATGATTCCATCACACAGTTGCTCCAGATTTGTAACAGTTTCACCACATCCCAAAGGTGCTCTGTTGGATTGAGATCTGGTAAATGTGGAGGCTGTTTGAGCGCAGCAAATATCTCTTTGAGGTGATCTGAGCTTTGAGATGTAGCACATTATTCTGCTGGAACTATACATTGGGATGCACGTGATCAGCAGCAATACTCAGGTAGGCTGTGGGATTGAAACACATCTCAGTTGGTACTAAAGGGCCAAAGTCTGCCACCACCACAACACAACCACACCACAACACAACCACAACCACAACCACCCCACACTACCTGCAGCAGCTGCCTGAAATGAATAGACCTAGCGACTCATGTCTTCAGTCTGGCCTCACTGATTGCTCCAAACACACCAGGTTACTGAGAGATGTGTGATAAATCAAAACAGCACAAAAGTGCAGTGTGTCTCGCAGTTGTGATATCAGCAAATACAGTTTAATAATGAATTAATAGATTTTCATTAATCTTCTACACCAAATTCTCAAAGTGTTCTGTTCGTTTTCATTCTCTGCTGTTACCTCTGGTCCTTAGAATCTGGGCCTTGGTATTTTATTCAAGGTGAAAGCCTGTAAAATGTGGGTTAAAAGCTGGCTGAGCTTTGCCAGAAGCAGCAGCTGATTGGCTGTGGCTGAGCTGGTGTGTTGTGATAAGAGCCCAGCCTTTTGCAGCTCCACTGTGCAGTCAGAGGAAGTCTGTGACGGAGTGAAGCACAGCACCCCTCACTTCTTCCTTCCACTCTCTCTCTGCTACTCTGTCATTCCTGCCATACCAGACATAGCTTACCACCAGCTGAGGTAGGCTCTCACCATAAATTTTTGGAAAGAACAGCCGGAGTCAGCATTCAGTCTTAAAACACATAATTACAACAAGTTGTGGAAACATGTCCTTCTCTCTGTTTCTGTCGCAAGAGCCAAGTGTGTGTGTGTGTGCGTGCGTGTGCGCGTGCATGCTTTTTCAGTCTTTATATGTGTTTGACATACAATGGCAGTGTGTGTATGTTTTCTGCAGTTTACATAATGTACGTTGGAATGCTTAAAACTAGCAGTGAAACTAGCAGTAATAATTCCAGTAATTAAGAGGAATTTTGGCCCACCCATCTTTGCAGAATTGTTGTTATTCAGCCACCTTGGAGGGTTTTCGACCATGAACCGCCTTTTTAAGGTCATGCCATCCATCCATCCATCCATCCATTTTCTGCCCCTTAGCCTGGGCTGGGTCGCAGAGGCAGCAGGCTAAGCAGAGAAGCACAGACCTCCCCTGCCACCTCGTACAGCTTGTCCAAGGGGAACACCGAGGCATTCCCAGGCCAGGCGAGAGATATAATTTCTCCAGTGTGTCCCGGGTTTGCACCGGGGCCTCCTCCCGGTGGGACATGCCCGGAACACCTCACTCAGGAGGTGCCCAGGAGGCATCCTTATCAGATGCCCAAACCACCTCAACTGGCTCCTTTTGATGTGGAGGAGTAGCAGCTCTACTCTGAGCCCCTCCTGGAGGGCCCACCCAATCTCTAAGTGAGAAGCCAGCTACCCTTTGGAGAAAGCTAATTTCCGCCGCTTGTATCTGCGATCTTGTTCTTTTGACCACTACCCAAAGCTCGTGACCATAGGTGAGGGTAGGGACATAGATCAGCCGGTAAATCGACAGTTTTGCTTTTACGCTCAGCTCTTGCTTTAGCACGATGGTCAAATTGCGAACAGAATTGGTGACAAAGGGCTGCCCTGGTGGAGTCCAACACAAACAAGGAATGAGTCCGACTTATTGCCAGTTATGCAGACCAAGCTCTTGCAGTGGTTGTTTAAGGATCGAGTTCTCCAAGTCCACAAAACACATGTATACTGGTTGGGCAAACTCCCATGCACCCTCAAGTATCCTTGAGAGAGTAAAGAGCTGTTCAAGTGTTCTGCGACCGGGCGGAAAACCGCATTGTTCCTTCTGTATCCGAGTTTGACTAACGGAGCCCCAGCCTGCTGCCTCTCACCAAGGGCAACTCCAAACTGAACCAGAGTCCAGCTCTTCTCCGGGAGACTGGTTTCAGAGCCCAAACTGTGCACTGAGGTGAGCCTGACTATATCTACCCGGTACCTCTAAACCTAATGCACTAGCTGAGGCTCATTCCTACCCAGAGAGGTGACATGCCATGTTCCAGTCGCTAGTCTTGGTAGAAAAGAGGATCGTTACGTCAGGTTTTGCTCCGTCAAGTTTGTATGTCTTAGTCCTGGTCTTAGTGTTAGTTACTTCCTGTTTTATTTTAAAAGTGTGACAAAGGACCCGACGCACACAACTTTACAAGGTACGTGTATGTTTATTTACATTGGATTTTTGCTCAGTCTTCTCGTACAGCTTTCCAGCTGCCATACTTCCGTTCAATCCAACACCATACACACCTCTCCCATCAGCTCTCGGTATCCAACCTATATAGGGGAGGCATGATAAGATAATGGAAATCAGCTGTTCTGGTCAGCCTCCCTGACACCACACCCTGAACCCACTGCTTCATCTCTCCCCTGCAGCTGAACCACAAACCACACTTCACCACAGATAGTTGCTTGTGTCAAGTGTGTTGTGTTGAGATTTTCATCTCCTTATCTCATTAGTTAGATTTAGTTTAGCTCTGTGTTGTTCCTCTGGTGTCTCCACTCCTTCCTAATGTCCTCTTGTGTATTTAAACCCTCAGTTTGCATTGGAGTCCTATTTCTGCCTTGAACATAGCAGTCCATGACACTTCTAAGAAAGGATGCAATCAAGATAACTCTAGAGACGAGTTATCTGTTTTACCCTTATCCTTTTTTAGCTTCCTTTCTGTCCCTGCATCCTCACTCATACTTTCACACATTTAATGCTTCCAGGGGGTTTGGGATTTTCAGTAAAATAATTTTATTTCTTTGCTGGAGTTTTAGGGTTAACCCTGGGTTTTTTGTACTACAAAGGTGGTTGACTTCTTACTGGAGTAAATCACAATGGTGACTTAAGCTGCTCCGAAGCTTCATTCACTTCTCCGAAGTTGTGCATTTTACTGGTATATTTTTATAACCTTTTGATATTTTTTGTCGCCATTTGATAACATTGCTGTAGTAGGTAGTAGTTAACCCTGGGTTAGCTTAGCGATTTGATAACCAGCTTTGTATGACCGTTTAGCCTGATCGCCAGTGTTAAGATAAGTGAAAGATACTGTCACGGAGGAGCAGGGAGGACTCGGCGCAGACTGAAATCTCAGAAAAACAGGTTTATTTACACACTCCAGGTGCACTATATACAGGTGAAGGAGAAGGGGGCCAGGGTTCCCAGGGGTGCAGAGCGGGGTCGGGAAAAGCGTCCAGAGTCTCCAAACCAAACACGAGAAATCTGCATACAGAGAACAAGAGTTAGCACGGAACTTTCACGGACAGAGCTCAAAACTGGCTGAGGCTAAAGTAGCACTGACGAGCGTTACTCAATAGTCCAGCGGCGAGGTGCTCTCAGTCACTGCCTTAAGTAGCGGGAGCAAACAAGGTGAGGAGCCACAGGTGATTGCCTACAGGTGGTGGAGGCCGGGAGCTCACAATGAGCTCCGCCCAGGCAGCGAGCAGAGAGAGAGGAGAGAGAGAAAAGACAAAACATAACATGTAGCCACACAGGGCCAGCCGAGCAGGCACGGGGACCATGACAGATA